AGTGCAAGGATCCAAGGGCAAATCTGAGTTAATTGAGGTATTTTCGGAGTTTCCTTCTTGTTATATGCTTTAAACTTCCATTAGAGCTCTCCTAAGAGCTAGTTGATGCTTGTTCCAAGCCTTATGTTTGCATGAATGTCTTAATAAGTCGAAATATCTTTGGATCTGAATGATGGGGTGTTGTAGAGCCCAGATCTAATGTCTTTTTGGAGTTACTTTGCATATTAACCATAGATCTACCCATTTTGTGCATCTTTTAGCCTTATTTCCCTTATTCATGAGGTTGTGCACGTAAAGTTGGAAACTTTACGTGGTAAACCAGCTTATTAGACTCAGATCTATCAATTGTATGTGTTGGATTCAAACAAAATCGAGTAAAAATCAGTTGCATGGCGGCAACTCGGCGAGTCGGGAAGAACGACTCGGCGAGTTGGGTCGCGAGTTCCTGAGTCCTTCAGTTTTATCAGTGTCGAGTGGACGGGTGAGTTAGGGAGTGGACTCAGCGAGTTGAGAGTAGACTCAGTGATGGAGGGACTCGGCGAGTTTGTTCATAGAACTCGGCGAGTCCAAGGCAATCTTCTTAGATCAAGAACAACTCGTCGAGTTTGTTCATACGGCTCGGCGAGTCGGATGAAGATTGTCTGAGTTCTTGGATCAAGAGGGTACTCGTCGAGTCGATGCCACACTCGACGAGTAGCAGCATGTAGAACTGAGAAGTGAGAGTAGGACTCGGCGAGTTGGGTGGCCCAACTCGGCGAGTCAGCCCAAAGAGAGTTGACTTTGACCAAGGGTAAAAGAGTCATTTTACCCCAAGTGCAGTGTTTAGTATTTGATTGAGTGTGTTTATGGACTTGTAGCCGAGGAGATTCAGGAGCAGCAGCCGTTAGCTTCCCGAGCCACACACTCATCAGCCAGCTTACGAGGTGAGTTTCCTTTCAGTAGGGACGGGTCTAAGGCCACAATGCCGGCCCGTCCAGTTAGCAGTAGTTTCCGGACTTCGGTCCGATGTAGTAGTTGGTATGTTTGATGCCTTCGTGGCTCAGACAGGATTTATGTGTTATGTGTTATATGTTATGTGTTCCAGGCTACGGCCCAATGCAGTATGCAGTATATGTGTTCATGCTTGTTGATATGCTATGCTATGTTCAGTCAGTCAGTTCCGGACTTCGGTTCGATGCAGGGACAAGGTCCCAGATAGTTCCGGACTTCGGTCTGATGCAGTTAGTTCCGGACTCCGGTCCGATGCAGGGGACAAGGTCCCAGTTAGTTCTGGACTTCGGTCCGATGCAGTTAGTTCCGGACTTTGGTCCGATGCAGGGGACAAGGTCCCAGTCAGTTCCGGACTTCGGTCCGACGCAGTTTCCGGGTTTCGGCCCGATGCAGTGGGCGGGGCCCAATATGTGTTTATATGTTATTGTATGGTATGTGGTATTTTGGGGGAGCTCACTAAGCTTCGTGCTTACAGTTTCAGTTTTGGTTTCAGGTACTTCCGCAAGTAAAGGGAAGAGCTCGGGGTGATAACATCGCACACACCGCAGCTTAGCTTTTATCCTGGGGATGGTTTTAGTTGTTCTGGATTGATATAGCATGATACAGTTTTCCGCACAGTATTTTATTATGATTTGGGATACATCGCGTATGTTTTTATGTTATGATACTCATATTATGGTTTTGATTATATTGAAAAACGAAATTTTTGGGTCGTTTCAATATTTGTTTCAATATTTATGCCAAAAACTGATAAAGGCAAACATGTTTTGTTAGGTGCATATTAAATATTGTAATGGCATATAATTTATGTGGCCTACATTAGCTTGTAATTTTCTACAATCTTATTAAATGTACCACTTTTAATGTTATAATGTTGTTTGATTTATAGTGCAATGTACCACTTTGGATCTGATTGTTTCGTTTATTCTTATGTACCATTAGATGAACAAAACCAACTTTTTGGAATCATTTATTCAATTGTAGTGTTAAAACTCAAATGTTCTAAAAATCATTGATTCTCATTACAATCTAATAAAGTAGTGTATAATCCCATAAATACAATGCATATTTCGTAATATCTTTTATATTACTCAATCATTACTGACATCACTAATTCTATACCAATGCGAAAAGTGTTTTTTTTTTTTTTTTAAGAAATCATTGACTCCATTCCACTATCAAAACACATTTTTTTCCCATAAAACACTAATTCCATTCAAGTACAAGTCATTTAATTAACCCAACATTCACACTACATTACCCAAGTTATTTCATTACAACTTTCAAAGTACATTCCCCACTCTTACCCTTTATTTAAGAATAATATACAATACAAAGATAACAAAAATCAACAACGTACAACATTTGCGATTCCAATATTCCCTACTTAGTTTATCCGATTCATTCTTCTAAAACTCAATGATTCTGTATATATTCCTTCACCTTATGAGTCTAAAATGTATTTTCCAATATCGATATGTTCACTTCAGTGATATTTGGTCTTACTGGTTCTTCATCTTTGACCGACCCATTCTCAGAAATCACAATTTTCCTTCTTGGACTCCTTTATATAAATAAATATTTATGGTTCACTTACCAATGAGTTACGGCAAACTCTAAAGTTTCTACCCGGATTATCAGTCGTAGTTGAGGTCCAAATTCGAGAAGACTACTGATAGTGACATGGTTGAACATAATCAAGTCTACCACTCTCGGAAATGTGTAAACTTGACTTCGAAAATATTGATGAAGATGAAGATGCCATCAGAAACCCGTTGCAAAAGGGGATCAAGAGATTAGAATGAACCCTAATTTGGTAGTTGAAGGCTTAGATATGCATTTAAATAAGCCAATACAATAAAAAAATGTCTAAGTTATTATTTTAGTTTAGGTAACCGGTTACCACAAGCTTTTATGTATAACTCATTCATGTTTCTTGTAAAAGTTCTTCAATCTTATGGTATTGTTAATACTAAAAAACCAATAATATATATATTTTTAATAATTTTAAAACATTATTACCCCCATTTTCAAAAACATTAGTAATAATTAAATTAAATTCTTTTTTACTATGCCGATGTACAAGAGACATGAAATCCACGATCGATTGATTCTTAAATTTGAGCACCCTCATTTTGACATGGTTTGACTTGAAAAGTTATGAATTTCACATTAAAATATTTAGGAGTAATTTACACGAATGATCCCTATGGTTTGGAGTAATTTATATGTTTGGTTCGTAACTTATTCTTTTAACTCGGAAAGTACCTACATTTTGTTTTTGTTGCACGTTTGGTCTACGTCTTACCTAAAAAGACAATTTTGCCATTGACATTTTAATTTATTTAAATAAAATATGGTAGATAATGTAAGGTAAGATAATGTGGAAGTGGGGTTGAGATGTTTTATTTAAATAACTTAAAAACCAATGGTAAAATAGTCTTTTTAGATAAGATAGGAATCATACATCCAACAAAAATAAATAATACGGACCTTCCTAATTAAAAATTATGTTAGAGACCAATGAAACTTATCCAAAACTATAAGTACCACTCACGTAATTTACTCATTATTTAACTATCTACCTCAAAACACTTAACATGAGAGATGATCGGATGAGCACGTTCAACTCGGATAGATAGATCATCAAAAAATAACATTGTAAACTTTTACAAAAACTGCTTGACGAATTGAATATTTGAGCAAATGTTACGTAATGTGAAGTCATTATTTCAATTTAATTAGATAACTTGTTACCTTAGGCTACCGTTAGCCTTTGCGTAATCATTATTTTACTTTAGATAACCTGTTATCTTAATTAGGTTACCAAATGCCTTTACGTATACTTCGTTTATTTTTATTTGTAAAAATTCTTCAATCTAATTAGGGCTGATAATTTTCGAAACGACCCGCAACATGATACAAAATAAATGGGTTGGAGTTGAGTTTTTCAACCCCCCAACCTGCCGACCCGCTAACCTGTCAACTCGTTTATATATATATATATATATATATATATATATATATATATATATATATATATATATATATATATATATATATAATTTCTAAATATATTTATGTATTAAGTATTAATATTTAGTAAATATTATATAATAAAAATTATCTATGTTTATATTAATGTTTCGTTTGAATATGTTTCTATAAATGTTTTAAATTTTCATTTTGATGTTTAAGACTTAAGTAGTTAGATGTCTAAAATTCGGATATGTTTATATCAACCATCAAAAATTTATTTATGTTTAATTGTCAATTTTATTTATGGAATCCGATTTACGAACCCGCCAACATGTGAACGCGTATAAATAAATAGATTGGTGGATGATATATAAGTTTATGTTCTAAACCCGCCAACCCGTGGCCTGCTAACTCGTAACTTGTATATTTAAATGGATCGTGTTTGGATTGACATATTTTGACCCGCCAACCCACCAACCTGCGATACGCTAACCTGAACACGATACGATAGCCAGACCTAAATTTAATGGTCTTATTAACACTAAAAACCCTAAATCAACACGTATACTTTGTTTGTGTTTATTGTGAAAATTCTTCAATTTAATGATCTTGTTAACACTAAAAAACTAATAATGTTATTTTTTTGTATAATTTTATAACTTTATTACCACAATTTCCCAAAACATTATAATATTAAATTAAAAATGTAAATTCTTTTTTACTATGCCGCTGTAGAAGAGACATGAGATCCACATTCGATTGATTCTTAAATTTAAGCACCCTCATTTTGACTTGGTTTGACTTAAAAAGGAGTGAATTTAACATTAAAATATTTAACTTACTACCTCAAAACAGTCAACATGAGAGATGATCAGGTGAGCAAGTTCTACTCCGATAGATAGATCATCGAAAAATAACATTGAAAACTTCTATATAAATTGCTCGACGAATTGAATATTTGAGCAAATGTTACATAATGTTTACCAAATACATTATAATAGTATTCTAATGAAAAAAAGATATGAAGAAAGCTATAATAGTTCTTGAATCACCAGGGCTTCATCATACCAATCATGATGATCGGTGGCAACCGTTAATCGATTATTGTATTCATCTTCACATTCAAATGGCAAAATGGGTGTTCGGCAAACTGGACAAGTGTCTTTGGATTCATTCATCCAACAATCCAGACAAAATTCATGAAAAATATGTGTACAGTTCTTCAAACATCTAATCTTGTCATCTCCTGTAAACTCATTCAAGCAGACTGCACAGCTTGTTGGCAAATCTTTCTTCTGAATGTTCTTGAATTTTGTGATCACAAGGACTTCACGTGTCAATACTGCCGAGAGGAGAAAGCTTTTGGATGGTTTCTTATGATGGGGATGGTGGATTTCGACTTCATGAGAGACACCGATGAAGGCAAATAAGAATAGAACGATATTTTGAATAAAACACACAAGAGAAAATACGTATAGAACATATTTTGAAAGCCCCGTTTCTTTGAAACCCATATAGAAACCCATCGATGTTCTTGTAGGTGTAAGAAAAAGGAGGTATTAGATCTGGTTCTTTGTTCACTTCAACCATTGATATAGATGTATGTGTGTGTCGATGTTTGTGAGTAGGGTTATCTTGATTGCATTAAAGAATAATCTTCTAGACACTAAAATATAAATTTATAAGATGACGTCAGTGTTAAGCACTACAGCTCAGGAAATTAAGTAACAGGTTGATGCTAAATCGATGTTTACGTCATCAATTGCGACATAGGATAAATCGGTCTAATATTTAATATGTTTTTATATGATTGAAATTCTTTGGAAAATATATAATGGCTACATCTTGCTGCTATTCATATGAATTGTTAGTAGGAAATGTGCAAGATAATAATATCGAAAAAAGTGCCCAAGGTACTCTTTAGGCTATATGGGCATATGCTGAGAGAGCCATATCACGATGTGAAACCAATCTCTTTGGCAATAAGGGTTTGGGTTATGATAACGCATAACATATACAAGGTTATGATATCTCCCAGCACAAAGCATAACATATACAACTTGATAGAATATATCTTTTTGATGAACTAGAACTCTTCTCTAGTGATTGCACCCAAAAACAATGTTACAACAACTCTTTGACAATCATCTGTGGTAGATTTTAATATCATCAACTCATGTTAGTATAATTTATATAGATTAGCAATGAAGTTTAATTCTTGATTTTATTATAAGTTAGAAGGTGCACCGTGAACATTTGTATAAAACAAGTTTGATCTCGGTTCGACCAAATGGCAGGGGTTAAAGGAGATTGCACCTTCTTACGTGCTTTTAGAGGCAACTTCCTAAGCAAGGTCCTTGAGGACGTGACCCTTGGAAGGGTTTAGAAGGTTATCCAAAAATCTTATTTTTTTTTTTAAGTAAAATATTAATTTTGGATAATATTTCTGATAATTTCCTTGAAATTATCATCCTTTATTTAGGAGATAAAATCAACAATTAATGTTGATTGGTGTTTATATTTGGTAATCAGATGAATTCAAATTCTATATAAACCATAGTTTATGGTCTCATATCGGTGCTTTGATTTGAGGTTGTTCTTTGAAAGATTATCCTCATAATCTGGATTTCGAATAACACAGACATCGGGTCGACATTTAAGATTCAAAAAGTGCTCACACGATCCCACAAGAAGATCCAAGTGACTTATAGATTTTTAGAAACCTTATTCTCCTCCAAAACTCCAACAATCGAATTTGATATTGTGACAACCTAAAGAATACGTTACCAACTGTCGTTAATAGTTAACGATAGGACATAAAAATGTAATAAGGACAACCCTATAAGCACCTGGTATTTTAATATATTTGAGTTTTCCGTCATAAATTACGTACAATATTAGACTAAACAATAAGTGAGCAAAAATTTGTGTCACTTTGAAAACGTGTTAGCATACTTAGACTACTTAAGCCACCACAATTCCTAAAATATAAATTTCGCAAAGAATCCAACACAATATAGGTGGGCTATGACATATATAGTAAAAAATATTTTTACCAACTACATAATCGTAGTACAACTTAAAATAGGAATTATGAGGCAATGAACGCCTAATATGGAAGCCATATGAGGAGCTATGATTTTTATAAAATCATAACGACAATAAAAACCTGTCGAAAAACGAAACCAAAACTAGACAAAACAACCAAAAGGAAAGTTGTAGGGAAAGAGGAGGCCTACACGAATATATAAGACATGTCGAGAATGAAGTTCATATGTGAGAGTTACAAAATTTCAAATTTTAACTTTTACCTTCACGCATGCTCGCGTGGACTGCACCGCGCGCACCTGACACTCGATATGTCTAGATAAAGAATGACTTGGCACACGGAGATGAGGACACGTGGCAACAGTCTACGGTTAATGCTCCTTTTTGTGGCACGCATGCCAAATGTTGCTTAAATAGCAAGTTTCAGCATCTCAATTTCCTCTTCCCTCTCATAAGTTCTAATTGATGGGTTTTGGGCATTACATCAGTCATATGGTGCACATGCAAACCCTGAAGCTTCGGATCTAGTTTGCCTATTTGTACATGCAATAATCATCCAAAGATCATAAGCCCTAGATCTAGCATACTATAATCGAAATCACATATGAAAATAAAGTTTTGATCTTACCTTGATTGTTATGTAGCAATAACAATCATAATCTTTCTTGATCTTGACTTTTGAAAGCCTAGTGCCCCAAGTGTTGCACCTCTAATGGAGTCACAAACACCAATAGTAATAAGGATGACTTACGATAGCGAGGAGGAGGCACAAAATTCGTCCAAGGGATCTCTTAGAAGGTTAGGGACGATTTGGGGAGCCTTAGGGTTCCTTTTATAGTTAAGGCTCCTAGGGTTTACAACTTGAAAACCCTAATTCCATTGCTTAGGCTATAAGTAACTCATGTATCCCCATATAGCATGCCTTGGACGAAATCTATGGGTTCCTCATAGATTTTCGTCCATTCTATGTTAACAGGGCCCATTAGCCCAAACTATAACTATTACTAATTTACATAATCAGTCCCTACTAATTTAATTAGTCTCTTTTGATAACCAAATTAATTTCTAATCAATACTAATTATATAATATGATTTCTCTTTTAATACATCATTCTTATAATATATTAATAAATCATAATTAATCCTCTTTCTCCTTAATTCATCCTACCAGTTGCTATGGTGAAGGGAACCCAAAAGGACCATGCTCATAATCGGGTCATGTACAGTTATGGGCTTAGCCACCTAATCCAACAGTCTCCCACTTGGACAAGTCTAATAATTATTTTGCAAGTAAAACTTCAGAACCTGATTAGCAATCGTAGCTTTCAAAAGCCGCTGTCAAACTCTGATCTTATCAGTAACATGTCCTTTAGATAAGGGACCATATATTCCTCAGTTCTAGATATCGTATGAACTGATTCATGGATTTAAACCATAGTCTTTGTTCATGTGTTGTTTCCCGATTTCCGATTTATGACGACTGACAACAAACTACAATTGAACACATCAAGTTAGTCTACGCTTGACCAAGGGCTTAGGGTGTCATCACTAAATCATCGAGGGGCCCACATATATTGCTTTTATCCAACTTTGGGTAAAAGGAACGGATAGAATTTGACTCATATGCTTGCTCTATTTACTCATCAAATCACACACAATGTTTTATAACACCAAGTTACTGGTGCATTTACATATTATCAATGAGCAACCGACTCGTAAACTGCAACTATATATCTTCGTTTGAAGAATATAAGATACTTTCGTCTCACTAATCACTCATGATAAAATCCATGAAGCAATTCAAGTGAGCGTGGGTTTAATCAAATACTCTAATCTTATTACAAGAACACTTATAAACACTGCAGCCGAATTTTACTATGTCTAAAACGCTTCTGACAATCTACAGTCGGATGCATGACAGTCTTGCCTCAATACCTACTTCCAAAGTGTGATCTACTGTGGATGGTTTGGATAATCTTATTATTCGGGCAGTCAAAACATGCGAAATGAAACACAAGAATAATCAAATCCAATATGGCCTCAAACTTGTGAGTATAAATAAAACACCTTTTATTTAGTCACCATATTGATTACACATCATTCATTGTATAATGCTTCGGATAATCAACTCATTACTTGAATTATAATAATAGTTGTCCCACGCTCCAAGCATATACACTATGTTTACCTATGGTCCGTACTTTATGAAATAGATCAATTGAACACATTTCCAACGATACTCATTTCACAATTCATAAATCCCTATCATAAGTGTATGAATACCAAATTATTGCCACTATCATTATGTGTTAGATTCTAACATTCTATGCAATTATCATTCTGTGATGTTATAGCACCAAAGTCACAAAGACTTTGCCAATTAAATTATAAAGCGCTCTATTGTAGATTGCTACAAGACAACTCCACAGACATGAAGTCTCACATTCAAAGTACATTCCTTTGGACATCGTTCTTGCATAAAAGTTTCTAATCTAGACATAGATTCTTGATATCGAACTGTTGGATTAGTGTCTAAGTCCATAACTATTTTGGTATGTACTTGACCCGATGGTGCATGGTCCTTTTGGGTTGCCTTCACCAAAGCAACTTGATTGGAGAAATAAATAAAGAGATAGAGGATATTATGATTTATTAATATGTTATAAGAATAATATATTAAAGGAGAAATCATATTTTTTTTAATTAATATTGGTCAATAATTAATTAGGAATTAATTTTGTGATCAAGTGTAATTAATTAAACTAGAGGGGCTGATTTGTAATTATTTGATAGTTACAAAATAAGGTAAGGATTATCTTAAATATATGATGAACGAATTTGAGGTGATAAGGCCTTAGAATTCGACTATGATAAGGGTTCAAGGATTATCTTATGGGTTGCTTTGTGGATAAGCATCTAGATAAGGATAATGACTGAAACCCTATCTCTACACCTATATAAACACCACTTGGCTCATGAATTCGTGTATCCCTTCCCAAGGAGTCCTAAGGACGAATTCTAACCTCTCTCCTTTCTCTTTATACCTTCTCCATTTACTCTTGGTGTTTGTAAGCCATTAGAGGAGTGACACTTGTGACTCTAAGCATTCCAAAGTCAATTCAAGGAGGAATTGGGATTGTTATTGCTTCACAATAATCAAGGTATGTTCTTAAACCCATTCATATGTTAATATCAATTTCATATACTAGAATTAGGGTTTATAGTCTTGGATTCAAAGCATGTACAATAGAGAAGCCTAGATCCAAGCATTAGGGTTTGTATGAGCACACAGGATGTCTTATGACCAAAACCCATCAGTGGTATCAGAGCCTAGCTTGGTTTCAATTGTATTGATGCATTGTATATCTGAAAAATTCGATTTTTGGTGTTCTAGAGGCTGGACTCGCCGAGTCCATAGCTGAACTCGCCGAGTCCAGGGTGACTCGACGAGCCCAGGCTTGACTCGACAAGTCAACTC